GGGCGCGGAGCGCCCCATGGGCGCCGCCAGAGGCGGCGCCATGGTGTTGAGATCGCCCCAGAGGGGGGCCGCTCGAGGCCAGCTGCGACTCCTGATGGGCGCCTGTTGAGACCAGCCGGGACTACCAAGGGGGGCTGTCTGTGCGCAGCCCGAAGCCTTATCGTTTTGATCCGATCGATCCGATTCCGTATCGATTTCGGCCGGCCCGGCCCAATTCGATTCAAATATTCCGATGATCCGATGCGGCTCGAGGCTTGCATGAGCGCCATCATGGTGCATCCTGGCGCAGCCGATCAGATTCGATTCCAGCTCCGTGCCGAAGGGGCCCGATCGGACGCACGGCGCAGACCCGACCCGATTTCCCGATTCGATGTTGGTTGCTGTTGGCCAGGCACACCTTTCCATGATCCCCAAGACTTGTGTTGGCCCAATGCGTGTGTGTGTGTGTGTGTTACCCCGTCCGGCCTGCGTCGGCCATGGTTACGCCACCGTCGTCGTATTGAAGGGGTTGGGCGGACATGCTGAGGATCATCGAACCGTTGGCAAGCCTCGGACAGGGCCAGGACGAGGACAAAGCCGTTCCAGCTCACAGAGCGGTTCGGAACGCTCTGAGAAGGCCGCGGCGCCCGAGACATCCTCCAGAGCCGACGGATCTCAGAGATTCTCGATGCATTATCACCCTGCTTTATCCTCGTCCTATGTTCGTCCTAGTCGAATAAAAATGCATAAAACAGAAACGTGTGGCGCTCCGCGCGGATTTCTTGGATCCGCGCTTGGGCCCGCCGCCTCTGGCGCCGCCCCTGGCGCGCTCCGCGCGCCAGGGAGGGGGGACTGGCGCAGATCCAAGAAATCCGCGCGGAGCGTCAAAAGTTCATGTTGATGGTGTTGTTCTTTTGCAGGGGCCGACCGTCCCGGCATTCCCATAGGCCTACCACGACATGTTCTCAGAACCCAAAAATGTTCTCAGAACAAAAACAAGATTTTTATAACATAAGCCCGACGTGTGAAAACAAGACAGTCTCAGCCAGAAACGCTTTAAGAACACTCCGTGCAGACCACAGAAAGGTCTTACCACATTCTTCGGTAGGCCTATAGGCGAGCTGGGACGCCTCGCCACTGTCGGCCACGCGCAGAAGGGGAGTGGGGGGAGGGGGAGGGCGTCTTAGAAGCACCCCCGCTCTTAGACGGCGCGGGCCTCATCTACAGGAGCAAGGCCGGCGCCCTCTAAGGAGCGGCCTCGTTCCAAGACGCCCTCCCCCCTCCCTCCACCCTCCCTTTGCGCGCGCCGCCAGCACCGGTTGACTTGTTGTCTTCCTCGTACCGTGCTGTTTGTAGCACATGCTCCGCGTGCTGGCCATGTGTTAAGAATATAAAGGGTTGACTCATAAAAGCAACGACGAGTTCATGCATAAAGTTATTGTTAAATCAGTCGTGCATTAGAAATCTTGTGTATTAAACCGTCCCATGGATTAAAAACCTCCGGACTGAGGACCGCTGCCGCGTGCGGTTGCCCTTCGACGCCACATTCGCCCACATGCTGTACGTACCGGACGTGCGGCGTGGCCGGCGCCCGTGCCGCCGCTCCCGCAGAGGGCGAGGCCTCGTCGAGGCAAAGGGGCGCCGTCTGCCAAGAGAGCACAGGCTGGCTCTCGTGGGCCTGCGGGGGGATTGCCCAAGGCGCCTCGCGTGCTGTCGTAGGCTTAAGTCGGGCATGTTCCTCTGCAGGGGGAATACGCAAAGATATGCAAAAAATAATCAGGGGAGCGATGTTTGAACTACTTGGGGCTATTTGGGAAAATGTTTTGATGAGTTGTTATCTTTCGGCCAACATCCGCCTGTAGGGGGACCTCTTGCCGAGAGCAGACGCGCTCTCGTGGGCCTGCGGTGGGTCGCCCAAGGAGCCTCGCGTGCTGTCGCAGGCACACCTGCTGGGACGGATGTCGCCTGGGCGGGGGCGCGTTCGGACCATGTCTCTGTCGGGGATCGGCCGATCGGGCTTCGGACGTTGTCGTGGGTTCCAGGAGGTGTCCCCGCCCAGGGATGTCCAAGGATCCTCGTATGTTTTCGTAGGCCCACCTCCTGGGACGGATGTCGTCTGGGCGGGAGCGCGTTCGGGCAATACCTGATGGGCCTGTTGTGCACCACTACCACCACCACCACCATAAGTAGGAGGGGGGATAGAGGAGGAGGAGGAGGAGGAGGAGGAGGAGGGGGAGGAGGAGGAGGAGGAGGACGACGAAGAGGAGGAGGAGGAGGAGGAGGAGGACCCCCTTCCCCCCTCCAACTAATAGTGGTGGTGGTGAAAGACAGGCCCATCAGTATCTCTGTCGGGGATCGCTGGATCGGGCGTCGGACCTTGCGGTGGGTTCCTGGAGGAGTCCCCGCCCAGGGATGCCCCCCAGCAGCTGCGCCTCGTCGAGAGCGTCCCCGGGGGGTTCGCTCGGGTCGTCCCGATCGGCCGCTGGAGGCCCGGGGTCTGTTACCTCGAAGCCAGACCCTG